TTTTATAAAGGGTACAATCGTTGTTTTTGAAGGATTTATTTTCAATCCTTCATTCTTGCACCACAGTGTAGCTACATTTAATGCCGTCTGCATTCTGCTTGATATGATTTCATCAAATTTTCCGCAGACTATTATCACTATATCATCCGCAAACCCAATAATTTCAAACCCTAGCGATTCAAGACTGTAGTATAGTTACTTAGAAAAAACAGAAACTTTCAAGCAAACTTGTATTTGATTTCACCAAGTTCCAAGATGATTTCATCCTCAAGAAGAAAGTAATACAGCTGTATTTAAATTTTAGAGAAAAAACGTTTCTTAAAGCACAAGTTAAAAAGATACGTTTCTGAATTTTTGGGAGCAGACTCAGTATACATTTAACAATTATTGACTCAGTATTAGGCATATTTGGTTGATTTTACAAAAAGTTAGAGCAAATTAAGGAACCCGTTTTTTTTCTTGAAAAATCTTATTTTCTTTAAATAAAATGATCATAACTTCTTAAAATTTTGCTCAATCTCAGTGGTAGTAAGGATCATTCATATGCCACTAATTTTACTAAAATTCGCCCACTAGGTAAAAAGTTGAAAATTGAGCGTTTCACTAAAATAAATCTAATTTCATACGGGAAATTGCTCTAATGTTGGCCTATAGATCTAAGATTGGGCTCGTCGCTAAAAATCTGCTACTTATCAATTTTATCTAGATGAACGCGTCATTGGCACGGTACTAATGGATATTTTGGTCGCTATTGAAAATTTAGTCAATTGCCCAAATTTGGGGAATTTAGGCCGATATTACATCCATTTCCCCTACAAGCTCTTCCAATAAAGGCTAAAACTATAGCAATACATCAATAAACATTTGATCAATCACCAGCTATGATTTAAAACAATATATCTATTCACCATTTTTCAAAAAAAAAACTACAAGGGACAGCCCTGTGGGGTTGTACTTAATGGCGACGTAGGACTACGTGGTCTTATATAATAAATCTTATTTGTTAACTGCAGCATGAGCTTGTGTTATGTGTAGGAATAGAAATTTGAGCGGGGTACCCTCTGTTTATACTCTATAGTATAAGGCGCTTGACATAGATGGCCCATAGCGACCCACGAAGAGCTACTGATTCCTCAATAGCGGTGCGGCTTCATCCTCCTTCTATAGATGCTCTTGTGGAATGCAGCTCGCTGCTTGCAGCCAGCCTTTCGTTGTGTACTGAAGAACAATGTTCAACACCACGTGTCAAAAGCACTGCTGCTACTGCTGATGATGATGCAGACGACCGGACACCACCACACGTGGTGTTTGGAAATGAATCCGATCAGCGGTTGAGACCAGCCTTGATAGCTAGCTGCTTGTGGGGAGCCTTTCGTTGTGTACTGGAGAATACCACCACTCACCACGCGGTGGTTGAATAAATACCGTTTGGGGAGACCGGATGGAATTCAACTTTGAAATCAGTGTTAGGGAAATCGCTTTTCGCAGTCAATCGGTGATAATTTTAATTATCATAGCAACAGTTGCACATTCGTGCAATTTTCAAAAGTGACATTTCTAAAAATGGTAAAGCCTTGAATTAAACAGATACGTATAAATATTTCTGACCTATTAAAATCGGTCCAGGGGCAGCTGAGTAATTAACGTTCCAAATCTTTCATAATTTTGTTAGATGTTCCATTTTTGCATTTCACAAAAAGCACCCCCATATAGAAATCACAGACGTAGTCCTACGTCAAAATGTCCTCTGTCCTGGTGTAAGATCAATTTTGAGATACAAGGAAGTCGAGAAATTTTTCAACCTGAAAAATTCTTAGACCGGACCGACAATCGAACCCATCCACGTCCAGCACCGTCTTGCTTTGTTGCTGTGTCTTTACCGACTGAGCTAAGCGAGGCCCTTAACTGTTGCACTTTGAGGAGCTTAAAATCATTTTTATTACGAAGCTGCTGCACCTCCAGGAGTTCAAACTTATTTTGATTAAAAAACTAACGCACCCAGAAGCTCAACATCTCGGAAAATATCTAGTAACCAGACCCAACCAGCATAACAGGTAATATTTCTATCACGCCTCGATTAGCTCAAAATCATTTTGATAAAAAAGCTGTTACACCTCCTAGAGCTCATAATCTTTGAAAATATCTGGTTACAGAGCTGGCACAAAGCCTTTTAATGAACCTTCATATAGAGACTTATGATTCGATTGAACTCATAAAGCACCTTGTAATGAATATTGATACAAGATATCTTGTGAAGGCCTCACCAAGTAAACGCATAAGATGTCCCACAATATTTTTATAAGATTATCTATAATGTCTGTGGGCTTATCTCCTAAGCTATTCGAAGTTAACCACTAAGGCTCTTGGATTACACTATAAGCATTAGCTTCCGAGATGATTTGAAAGAGATCTGAAATTGACCTAAGTTACACCTTCCATATAGCCTATCAATTCAACCATACGAGTTAACCGAAGCTGACGTCTGAAGATTGCTTTTAAGGCCACCGAAATTGGTCAATAAAATGTTTTAACTAATATCTAAATCCTGACTCTCAAGCCAGGATAACTGATTCACGAGATCTTTCCGATTTTACTCGTATCCCGAGCAGGAACCGATAGCTAACCGATATCATATGAATATCTTAATGCGGTATGATAGCTTATTTTGTTATGCGTGTGGTATAAAAGCTTGTTTTGATATTTTTCAGTTATCGAAATATTTTGTAAAATATCAAATCCCGAGCAGGAGAAAATAACTAATGAATACCTAATTCTGATCTGATACCACAATTTGGTATTGACCAGCATGATATAAGAGTTAAAATACCAAAGAATAATACCAAAAAGTTACATGAAAAATACTTTGTAAATACCAATAATTGATATTTCGATACCAAAAGAATACCTGGGTGGTATTGTTTTGGTATTGCATTATCATAATTTGGTATTGGAACGGTATTGTGGGAACATTTTTTTGGTATTTTACCTCTTATGTCAGGCTCATCCATACCAATTTAAGGTATCGAGATATTCGTTCCTGCTCGGGTTCAGTTTTTAGACAATAACGACAAAGAGTTAGTGTATTTGTATTAGAAGTCCTTTCAAATAGCAGGCTATGGTATTCTGGCGTAAAAAAAAGGCGTATGTTATCCGTCAGTTATTATAATAACTAAATTAATTATTAGTTCGTTATTCGTAGATCATTTTTGAGGTATTATTTTTGGTATTTTACTTCTTATGTCAGCCTCGTCAATACCATATTCAGGTTGCCAGTTATGCTATTCTCACACCTGAATTTGGTATCCATAAGGTATTTTCTCCTGCTCAGGATCCTCCTCAATAGCTATTCTGAAATTTTGAGTCAGGAGGCTGAAACTACCCCTTAAGATTAATAAAGACCACTGGACTAAACTCATCAGACCTTCTAATATTAATAAAAAATATCATTGAAAGTAGATATTTGAATCTGAAGCTCACCCCGAAAAATCAACCTACAAGGCAACGTCATAATAATGGTAAACAGATGACTAGTTAGGCCTTTAGACTAAGTCCATAAAGCTTCTGATGTTGACCAATAAGCCTTCTGGACTTTACTCATGCGACTCCCGAGCAGGAACGAATATCTTGATACATTAAATTGGTATGGATGTACATACCAAAAATAATACAAAAAAATGTTCCCACAAAACCATTCTAATACCAAACTGTGACAACACAATACCAAAACAATGCCACACAGGTATTCTTTTGGTAAACAAATATCAATTTTTAATATTTAGACAGTATTTTGCAAGCATTTTTTTGGTATTATTCTATAGTATTTTACCTCTCATGTCATGCTGGTCAATACCAAATTTTGGTATCAGGTCAGAATTACGTATTCATTAGATATTTTCTCCTGCTCGGGCTTCTACGTTGAACTCATAATAACTTAGGCACTACTCTATATACAAGCTTCGGACATTTTCTCATATCGAGCATTTATGATTTACAATCAGGTAGTTAAGAAAATCATGTTGCGTTCAATGGGAATCCAGTGCATTCCATCTACATTTATTCGATTAGATGGTAAATTTAAAAAAACATGCATCAAAATGCAACCTACATGACATGTATTTCAGCCTTATCGCGCTCTGTCGGTAAGAGTTAAAAGTCGAGTTGGTTGGTCGATTCCTGATTTCAATTGCATAAACTTCAGATTCAGCTATCCGCATCCAGAGGCGTCATGTTCTAACGGGTCAGGTTCAGTAGTGAACTTTGAAGACCTTTAGAATCACTTCATTGATCTTATGAATTAATTTCAAAATCTTGACTCTGATCTTGCATACCTCAAATATCCTCATACATCAAAGTATGAGTAAGGTAAAAGAGTGTGTAATTGATTAGTATGGACGCATTAATGGCATATCCTCTTAAGAACTTTCTCAAGCTAATAATTTATTGCACAAAAGCTTCATATTGATATTAGTATAGTATTTCCTCCCAACTTTGAAAATCATAAACTACACGTATGGAAATAACAAAACACTTTGATGGATTATTCAAACTATTGGAAAACAATATAAAAAAACCCAAGAAAATCTATTGGTTTCATCTCATCAAGAAAATAAACCTAACCGACCTATTTTTCTAAAGATAATCTCCGTGTAAATAATTTTTTTTTTTTTGAGCCCAGCGATTTTTGTGCCATGATGACATATTGCCTACAAATAATTTATCTTTAGAAAAAAAGGAAAAATATCTGTTTATTTTTTTTATTCTAATCTTACACCAATATTATTTAGAAACCAATATATTGTTTCGGTGCGATTCGATTACCCTTAAGGAAATGAGACAACAAGTTTGCCAAGCAAACTCGTGCGTACTATAATTCAATTTTCATCCACCTATTAATCGATTCGAGAGTCTATTTTCGCAAGTGTAAAAATAAATATGCGCCACCCAATTTGATCACTTCATTACACTCAATTCACACCCAACATCCCACAGCACGCACTTACCTCGTTCCACAATTTTGCCGAACAGATTCTTGCCCCGGAGGAAGTTCCTCGTCGAGCAGTTCCACCGCCGATTCCGAAACTGATGCTGACACTCGTTGATGGCCATGTTGGCTCCCTTGGCGATTGCCGCCAGCACCCCGGGATTCTCCCGTGCCAACCGGCGCTGCTTCCGCCTCAGGGTGGCATGTATCGCCGGATCCATGTAGATCATCCCGTTGGCCAGCGGGGAAATGTTGTTCGGTTCTCCTGCTTTTGCGATTCCCCTGTGAAAAGGAAAGGATAGATCATCTGTTAAAACAATGCGTTCAACTCCAACTTTCGTCGGGTATGTTTTTCTTCGAAGATGCCTAGATTTCTTGGGTAAATATATGGAATGACGTACTTCAGAATTCACCTGTGAATCAAGAAACGAACTAAAGGAGACAAACAGTGGATCACACGGAACGGAAGATGATGGATTAACTCTTAGAACAAATATTGACCTAGGAAGGTACGCATCAAATTTCACACAATCTCGTTCCGAAAAAAAAAAGCAAAAAGGTTGAAGGATGCCAGGAAGTAACAGGTTGGTCATATGGTCACTCAAAAACATGTGTGTCAGTCGGTTGTTTCTTGGAATCGTCTTTTCGAACGTCTCAATCACCAAAACTGAATTCAAGACCGCTGTGGATGTCAACTCGTGTATTGGTTGGATCAATATTTGGGACGTGGAAAAATACGACCACAGAGTTGTTGCGATCCAACTAGTAGTTACGAAATGGTTGTTGTTTTATGCAAATGAAGTTTGCCTACAAAACTGTGAACTGCTGGAAGGGGCTGACAACCACGACGACGACTGGGTGATAAATGGTAAACAAGCTACTGGCTGGTGGTGGGGAAACTGCGTTCGTGGAGCACTGACTGTTTGGGGACAAACAGACGCGCAATTGGTTATTAATTTCGGTGGAGCCATAAGTTCCGCGTCCCGTTCCAAGAATTCATGAAGATTAAAATTCACAACCACAGGAAAGTGGCTCACACTGGATGGAATCGGAATTCCTGACCAGCCACGCTTCATAACTCAAGCAGTGTAATTTAATAACCATCTCGCGCGGTGACGAGAAGGAAGCGACGACAAATGGATCCACATCTCGACGATACTGCCGCGTGCGTGTGTGACAGAGTGGTATTGCCATAAAATCGCCAACAATGATCATAAAAAGAGCGAACTTTAGCGGCGCAGCGTGGCAAGATGTGACCATGTTTGAGACCGTTGAGCATGTTTTGTTGAATGTTTAATAAGCTACATAGCTACCGATGACGGCGGCGATGGCGACGGAGCGGGAGCGACGATGGCATTTTGTCCAAGTCAAAAGACAAGTCGCGACAATCGGTCGGCGGACCGATGCGAACAGATTAGCCGACGATGATGTGATGAAACCGTGGCGCTTTATCCCCAAATGGTCATTTCGATGGCAATCGCGCGAATTCGATTCCCAGATCGATGCTGGAAGAGGGAAAGCTGGGTGAAAGACTGCCGAGAGCACGCTTACCGGGCGGTGGATTTCTTCTGGGTGTAATGTGACCAGACGGTCGGTATTGCACACGCACGGGTAATAAATTATCCGTAATAATGCGTCGGATGTGGGAAGATGATAAGACTGAGAAGGTGTGTAGTCTGAAGAAAGTTTTCTCAATTTAAGGGAAAATGCTTTTAAATATTCCGCTATTGTCAGTGTTTTCATAAAATAAATGAGAATTAATTAAGATGAGACGTCATTCATTTTCAAAAATTTGACAACAGTTCTTTCGTTCAAAACCAAAATTATGTTCATGAAAATGTGTTCATTAAATTCTACTTGCCTACCGGAACACAACCCAAGTAGCATTTCTTGTTTTATTGCACTCTATTAGTGGTTATTGAGATCAATTTTATAAAACTGTCAATAAAATTAATAGCTCCAGCACAACCTCTTGATAACCGCTATAAGATCGTCTTCCAGCTTAGTGGACCACTCTTGATAAGGTTTATAAAGCATGTTTGAGAATCACAATAAAGCTGTCTTAAAACCTTTTATCAGAAAGCCCCATACTCTACAAAAGGTTCTCATAGCCTCTATAAGAGTAATATTGTATCCAAGCAGTGTTATTACGCTTTGGTGAAAATCAGTTATAAAGCCAATTTAATTTTCATTGGCTTCAAAGCAACCGCCATAAATTAGTTGTTCTGTTCTGCTGAAACTTTTTTTTCCATATGGAAGTCTTCATCGGTAAAAATAGGTTTGAGTGTTGGTGTCAAGATCATCATGCAATCAATTTAGTTTCATGACGACATTAGTGAAAATCTCAGATAAAATATACGACATTTTTGAAGTTCCAAAACATATGCGCTTGAAATTTTATCGTGTATATTGGGATAATATGAGCGTTAAATAAATGCGCCTCCAAAATAATTCAAGTTAACAAAAAAGATTGTTTCAGAAATCAAAAGAATTTGATGGAATCACCCTAATTTTGCAGAAAATAGATCTCAATACATAAATTCACACCAATGCACACTGGAAATCATTTCGGATCTCTTATTTAGCCATTATTCTATTGAAATTTCTTGGATTTTATTCCAAGGCTAATGGCATTTTCATAATGACAATATGGCGACAGAGGACAGCAGGCAAGAAAAACACCAAGCGCAATTCCTTAAAATGTCTAATGCTTACATTGCACACTGGGTCACGAATCCACAAATTAATAACTCCGAAACGAAACATTTCCGTGACTTGGTGTCTTGGGCAAAATTTCCCATCATAATAAGGACCATCTATTGACATAAACAAATAGTTCAAAACTCTTCCGCAAAGATGGTGCCACAATCTAACTTCTTTCTCTGACGTTTTGGAGACTTGATGTTCTGGGCAAAGTTGTTTATCTTGACAAAATGAACAGCTCTTTCAAAGACGTTAAATTTTCACAGTCTGCTGGTTCCAAGTTATATGGAGTTAAAGAAAAAAACGTCGGAAATATGGTTTTTACTTTCTGTTTCGGATTTTTTGGCTAACAAGTATATAATGTTATATTTTTCTCTTCTGCAAATACATTAAATAAATAGCTTTTTTGAAGAAACATACTGTGCGATTTAAGTCTTTACATGACCGTGGGGATGCAAAGAGAAAGTCGACGAAGAGAATCTGTAAATGTAACTTAGGACCTAATGCAATGTTCAACTTGAATTATTTTTTTTATTTGAGGGCAAATGTATATTCCTATTCTACGGGTGCAACCGATGAATTTTACAAACATTTAGAAAAGTTTTGAATGTTACATTAACCTTTATGAAAAGTTATGCGTGATTTCAACCTTTTTGCCCTAGGACTGTCACCATTCCATGTATTTCGACCAAGATTCGACCGTGTCACCCCATGTATATGCGAGCGAGAACGGAAGAATCATGGAGATTGCTGACGTTTTTCTTACGCACACTACGTCGCGTATACGTATACACGAAATGTTTTCATGCTCATGCTAACAATTTTGTTGATTTTCTTTGCGCTCCGCTTGGAAGTACCGGAAAGTTTTGATTCTTTTCTATGTTGTAAAAATAAACCACCTATTTACATTTCTGACAAGTTGCAACTGAATGCTTATAATTGTTTTAAAATAACTGTTTCATGGCCAACTAGTTTTATTGTGCTTACTTATAAAGCAACGAAAGGATTTATTTTTTGGTTTTATAAGGGCAATTCATATTACTTTTTTGTATACTTCAAAGCAATCATAAAACCTTTCATAAGTGAAAATAGCGTAAGCATCAGTTGGTTTTTTAATTAGCTTTATAGGAGTTTTGTAGATAGCTATAAGAATGTTTCATGGCTTGCATTGTATATGACCGTGATAAAGCTGTAGGTAATGGTTGCAGCTGCAATAAAACCTTTATAAATTTTGAATATAGCCAAGCAGCTCTAGCTTTGTTACTTGGGAAGGAACACATTTTCAGACTATTGGTTCTGAACAAAAAAAACAACTTTTGATTTTCCAAAAAATAATGGCGTTCCGTTTCTGCTTAAGCAGAAATCACTTCCGACACAAGCACACTCATCATTCGATGAAGATGAGCCAAATTGACCATAACACACCAAATTGACCAAGAAACCCATCCAACTACACAAAAGAACTGTCCAAAATTATGGATAGACCGACCAAAATAATTGAAAGTTTTTAAAGCCAGCAAATGGAAACACCAACCAACTATCACCCAAACAAACAAACCAATCAATAAACCTGCAAAGCTGTTCAGTTGACTCGTTCTTTGGTTACTGGTTAACCGACCAGTTGGTCAGTTCCATGCCGATAAGTTGATTTTGTTAGATGAATGGAATGACCCCATCAATGAGTGGCTGTGCGCTTTCAGCGATTTTTAGAACTGACCCATTGACCAGTTGGCCGGAAATATTTTTAAAAAAATTATTGTAAGATGAAAATACTTTAGCTTGTTGGGCTAACTGAATTTCCTGGTATTGCTTCGGTCATTTGTCGTCTAAAGGAAATTGTTTCGGGCTCATGAAAGCCATTGATGTTTCCAAGGGCGTTGTTAAGATAATTTGGGAGATTTTAGAATCTTATGGACATTTTGATATGATCGAAAAAAAAATGGGTCAGAGTTTAAAAGCAGTTTTAACATTTCTAGCCATTTTGTTAACCTAATGGCTATTAAAATATTTGGAAGTGATCGCGTAATTTTAAACCCATTTGGCAATTAGAATCCCTATTTGCACTTTATTTAAAACCTTCAAACAATGTTCAGACCATTTCGGATGTTTAATCCAATATTGACATGTTTTGGGTCATTAAGAATTTTTGAGACCAGTTTGATCTTTCTGGTGTTTTAGGGGAAAGTTAAAAATGTTTACTTTCGAGTACTTACACCATCCCCAAGTAACCAGCATTGCCCTTTTTTGCAATGTAAGGCTGAGATTGGACTTTATGACCATTACGGTTATATGAAGCCCATTTTGATGCATTGGAGGCACGATTGGTGGAAGCCTTTTCTCGTACAAACATCGCGTAAAATTTTTGGATCTGCATGATAATGATGCACCGAATTACGCTTAAACACGTTGTCGACCACTGGTTAGTTATGAAACAGCGGAATATCAGATAACATTTTGGTGTAAACGCCGAACACCTGGCCGAATAGCACTATTTGGTGCAACACTACTGCAACACTTCTGGATGATGAGATTAGTGTTCTTGAAAATGCAAAGTGGAAAACATCCTGCAGTCGTGTGCC